CTCCCATTTAGTGCAAATTCTAACTTCAGAGCTCAGATTCATAGACCATTTTAATCTACCTCCTTTCTTTCTCAAATTAACATGGTCAGACTCAGAGAGAGAGTGAATTGCTCGGGGACACAAGAGAATTGAAGACTAAAACCTTGATTTAGTCCAACTAAGTGTTCAGTTAAACAGGATCATTCTATACAATATGCTTGTTTTTTAAAAATGTATTTGGTACAGGGTCTATAGGATATCACTACATAAATCAGACTCATAGTGATTCTGTTTTCAGCCTCCCAAGTGCTGAGATTATAGGTGCACGCCACCAGGCCCAGTCTCAATCGTCCTCAGTGCGCCCCAGGAGTGGGGCCAGCATGGCATGTGGGGGATCGAACCTTGGCCTCTGTGCTCTGCCTAAGCAGGCACTCTAGTCTGCTGAGCTATCTGGCCAGCCCTACAATATGATTTTTTAAAAATTAAGTTTATTGGTACCTTTCAGATATCCATATGATCACATTCATCACAGGGAATTTGTGCTGCACATGGTATATCTTAATTCTTTTTCCTGTTCTCTCTCACTTTACAAAAGCTGTGCTTCCATTTTATCCCTTTTTCATTTGTCTCTCTTCTTTTCCTTCCTTTCCTCCTCTGCCTTTCTTACTTCCCCTTCTCATTTGAACAATTTCTTTCTATTTCACAATATGCATTATGTTTTTGGGGACTTATTTCATTTTCTCACGTTAGGGACAGTGAGATATTTACATAGGTGTGTCTGATTTATTCCACTGAAGAGTATGGTCTCAAGGAGCATCCATTTACCTAGACCTATCTCAAGACTATCCTTTATGGCTGAGTAGTATTCCTTTGTGTAAAAATCCCTGTCTTCTTCGTCCACTCACTGGTTGATGGGCATTTAGGCCATTTCCAAGTTTTAGCTGTTAGAAACTGCTGCTGCTAACATGGGTGTTCATAGGTTGTTGCGGAATGATGCTTTTACTTGTTTTGGAAGATACAAAAGAAATAGCTGGGTCAAATGCGACCTCTAATCTTAGTTTTATGAGAAATCGCCGCATTAATTTCCACAGTGGTTACACCAGTCTAGACTCTAGGCAGTGCAGTTTTTGTTTACATTTCTATTCCTTCACAGACAGTGACTTCCAACTTTAAAAGTACGCAGGATGCCAAAACTTCGAGCAGATTAAGAGGTAAATCAGTAATTATACTACTTTGTAAGTCTTACTTTACTTACTTAAACTGTTCTTGGCGAACTCTACATGCAGTTTTTAGCATAAAATGATGGATTTATTGAGAACTTTTCACAATTTACCTACTATATAAAAATCAGAGACTTTAAAAGATATCCACCACAAACCCTATGAAGGAAAATTCAGACCTTGGAGACAACACAGTCATATACACAAGTCTGAGCCAAGAGACCTTTGTTTGGTCCTGTCCCAGCACTGGTTAGACAGAGGGAGCTGGGAACTCACACAGGCAAGGAGTTTAATAATCTCTGGCAACATGTGAGAGCAGTCACTGCAGTCTGAACTCTCTCACCTGATGTGTCTGCCTCTTCTCTCTCGCACTGAGTGTGCCGGGTTCAGGAGCGGGGCATCTGCGGAGGAAGCCTAGGGCGCATGTGTGTGAGTTCACGACCTTTGCCCCTTCCCCTAAAGTGCACTCTGGGAGAATTCAGTCTTACACTGATACCAGTCCAGATTCTGTTCCAAGTAGCGTAGCTATGAAGGAAAGGTTATTTTTAAAAATTCTAATAATGGAATCTGTTTCACTCAGGCAGTTAGTAAATGTCAAATCTTATATAACTGCTCACCAAAACATTTTTTTTTCCTTTAGCCTTTTCAACTGACTATACAGTATTAGGTTTCTGGACATAAAATTCTGTTTATAAACTTTCCAAGTTTTGAGATACTAACTGTCGCTTTGAGCTTCTAGTATTTTCTCAACTTCATACTTTGGATTAATAATAGTATCTTGGGACTCCTTTGCAGAATTCATGCACATTACTGTAATTTTCTGTTTTGCTGAATCATATTTGCTGATACTCCAAACCACTGTTTAGCTTTATCTCTAGTCATCTTAACTGTCTACAAAATGCCTCATTCATTACTGGGTGTTGAAGTGCAATTTTTATGTTTCATATATAGTTGCTTCCAAGATAGCACTATACTTTTTTGTCCATGATATCCTTGATTTTCAATAAATATTATTGCATCTCCAGGAAAAAATTTAAATGTTATTTTCCTAGCACGTTTAAGACTTTTTTAGGTCTACTTTTTTTCCCTCATACATTCAAGAAATACAGATAAGGGTGTTTTTCAATCTAACATGTACATCATTCTACAAAAGTGTTGTTGTTCTCTGTATGGCCTCTTGTTCTCTGTATGGCCTCAGGAAGCTTACTTAAACTATTTTTCTAAACTTAACTTAACCATTAATATAATTCAAGTAAATCAAGCCTAAAAATGATAGTCAAGCTGACACTAACTGATTACATAAAGTTTGTGTGCTTTTATTTTTGGCTTAGGTGAGATGAAAAATTATTGTGTTGAACTGGTGTTTCAAAGATGCTGACCTCTGTATGGCTCTTCACCAGGTGGTAAGAGCTTATTTTGATTCCAATTTTTCTTCTGCAATCACCCTAAAATTTGTTCTTTTGAAAAATTTTGCAGAAATCTAGCTGTTGTCAAGTTTACTTCCCTCTCTTCCGTTCTACCTCCCTTCTTCTTTTATCTCAAATTTGAAAATTACCTAAACCTCACCTAGACAGAATGTACAAGGCATGTTTTGTCTGCTTAGAGACTTCAGATTAATCTTTACTTAAAAATTGAAAGATAGCATGTAAATGTATAATGAGAAGATTTTGGAATATGATTTTCATTTTATTTTATAATACATGAAAAATATGACTTCCTCAAGGGGATATTAATGTTGTACTGAGCATGGAACAGAAATTTAGTAACATGCTGGTAAGACATGTTTTAAAAGTCAGTATGGAACATATTGAAAATATTTTCAGGGCACTTGTATTCTAATTATATGTTTTGAAAAAATATTTTATAGTAAAATATCAGTACTAATATTTATATTACTTATACGTAATGATTAGTCCTCTACAAATTAATCAATTATATGTATTACAATGATTAGTACTGTATGCTAATTACATATTTCTAGGATATTAAATTGGTCATTTTCTAGAGATTTATCTATACACAACTTGTACTGAATATTTTCTTCTTTCAGGTCTAATTATTTATATACAGTACTTATCACATTATTATATAATTAATTATGGCAACAAGCTAGCCATTTACTTGATTTTATTCATGCAGCCAAAAAGTCTGTTTGTAGAGAGCATTTTACTATCATGCCCTTTTTTAAAAAAATATTTACTTATTTATTTATTTAGAACCAGGGATTGACCTCAGGCCCTTGCGCTTGCCAGGCAAGTGCTTATTCTACTGAGCCATCTCCCTGGCCCCTATCCCTTTTTTTTTTTTTTTTTTAAAGTGAAACATTTGGGCTGTGAGTACAGCTTAAGCAAAAACATTTGCCTAGCATGTGTAAGGCTGAGTCAGATCCTCAGCGCAGCAAAAAGTAAAACAACAACAAAAATACAAAATCCCCCCCTCCCCAAGAATGCTCTTCAGTTGTACGGCTGAACTATTAGGTTTCAAATATATATGAGAGTTTAACTATTATTTTGAGTTTATTTCCAAAGAATTGGGTAGAAGTACATTACCTTTCAAAAATATTTTAGCTGCACAAAAGAAAGTACGTATTTGGAAAAATATGTTTTTTGAGAAAATGGTTTAAATCCTGAAAACTTTTATGTCCAGGGAAGAGTCTGAATGTTTCCAGTGAACTGAACAACGTTCTCTCAGATGTACACACTGAGTGGACTGTCTCATCAGACACTCTGAACAGATTCATTGGGTGTCAGATTCACAAATATGTGCTGACACGATATCTTGTCTAAACAATATTAGTACAAATCTTTCTTCTCATTGAACTATGAGAAAATAGCTGTATATCTATAATATGTTATATATATATATATATATATATATATATATATATATTTCACTACAAAATGGTCCTTCATTTATATCCCCCTTTTGTTTTGTTTTGTCAGAGATGGGTTCTATTGCAGTTAGAGAAGCTGTATTTGGAGAAGTCTTTAGAGGACCTTTTCATACTTGATGCCAGTTCAAATACTGTAGGTACTTGAATTCAGCAAAATAAACAAATGTAGTCCAATAGTCCAAATAGTAGTGGGTTATCAGAAGAACTGGTAATTATTAGAAGTTGTTGACTTGAGCCTTTTACAGATCAGCATATTAATATGGCATTACTTTTTATACCTCGTGGTTATACTTTTCTGCTGGATGGTAAAGACCAAGTTAAAGCAACTTTTGTATCTCACAAGGTCAGTCAAATCCCTTCAGGATTTACCCTGAAACCCTGCACCGCAGTTTGTAGATCCTTTGTCAGTGTCAGCCATCTAGATTAGTCATGGTCATTGCTTGACCAATCTGCTCTCTGTGAAAGCCTGAATGTTTTCTCTGTAAGTGATTCTCCTTCGGCACACTATACATCATCAATCACTTTCTGCATCTTGTGTTCTGAAAAACTACTATGAAGACAACAACATGCAATGTATTAATTATTGTAACTGTCCTACTAACCTGTTTTGCAACTGTTTCATTGCTATTTCTTTCTCATTAAAATAAATTTTAAAAAAACCCCAAAATATTATGTGCTACAATAGTTATAATCATTAAATATATTGAGGCTAATTTAACCAAAATGAAATAGCATCTGTTGTCCTTCTTAAGCTTTCTTTTATATTTTTTTCCATAGCCATCAAAATCTGACACCTGGCTAAAAAGGAAAGGGGTCCGGAAGCGATCAGTGTTTCATATTATCAGTTTTTTCCTTATAGTGTACAATATTAATAGACTGAACTTACCAGATTACAATACAACTTTCATTTTATTTTAAACATATTTGCATGTTATAAAAATATTGATCAAAATAGTGAGCTTTGCCATTGTTATTGCTATACAAATGAATGCAGAAACAATATTTTAGTGGAAATAAATTATATAGTCATTATTCTTTCTTCTTAAAAAAAATCACAAAATCTCAGCTGTTGGGCAGAAAACCAGTCTTTAAAAGAGGCCTTTTACAGTTGAGTTCCAGTCCATTTCTGTAAAATTATCCACACGGTTAAAAACAGACTTTTATCTTTGTCACCATGGTCCCACAAGGTCTCTGTGTTCCCAGACAGTTCTGATGTGGTAACCGCCATTTTTTTTTTCCTGGTAGAAAAATGATGAACTGGAAAACAGTAGGATCTCAGTTCACATGTGGTCGTTTCCAATATGAAGGGACACAGCGACATACTTCTTCACTAAATGAAAGTCCCTGCTCGCAATGTCTCAGTCGATTTGTACACGGTCGTCTGTAGCAACTAGGACAACAAAGAAGAACACATCTGTTAAAGACCAAGGCAGTGAGTTCATTATGCTACTAACATACTGTTGTATTTTTCTACATTTAAACTAGAAACGTATCAATTCAACATAAAATTGTAGGTTTATGGATGTTTAAGTTTGTGCTTAAAATTATAGTAGGGTGGAGCAAGGGAAGAGCCTTTAAAAGCATGCCTCGCTTGCTGATATGACAAATGGAAGGATGGGATATTGTAATCATTAGTTCTTTTGAAGTGCTCTCTGCTTTGTGGATGAAAGTAACATAAAACAGAAATTTTGAAAGTGAATATTTAAGGTCTGCTGATTTACTGTGATCATATAAGCATGGCAGAATTCACAAGAATCTGGGACGTGTGTGGGACCCAGACTTCCAAGCAATTAAAACCAGCCATCGTGGCGGGACTGTGGCCTCAGTGAGCAGTGCTGCCCTCACTCTCGTGTTTCTACTTGGCAGCTGGTTGCAGGATCACAGTCGACTTGCCCTTCTCCACTTGGACTTCCTGTGTAACACATGGATCTGGGCAATGGAGGGGGAGGAACAATGCTCATTTCGGGGGGATGCCTCTTTCCAATCTGGACTTGTAATTTCTAGCAGTAGTAAAAGCATGAGTTTCCAATAGGGTACAGCCCTGTTACTGGTACCATCTTTGAAGGTCTTTTGGGAGACAAACAAGTCTAACACACATGAAACACAAATACAGGAAAACATTCAAGATGGCTTGGGATGGAAATTAAAAGTGTACTATAAAAAGAAAAACCCTATATTTGGTTTTAAATTCCATCTCTTTCTCTTTAAAAAAGTTTTAAAAAATCTTCTTGCACACAAATTCATAAATATAAGTCCACAATTATTCCTTTCTTTAAAATGGTTAACATCTCAGAGATCAATGGGACTGCTGAGCAAAGCAGTGGACAAATAATTTTGCCCTTAACAAATATCAAGAAAAAATGAGAAAAGCATGGTGGCTGGTCAGTGTGTAGGCAGATATAAATATTTCAGGTTTTCATTATGTATTAGACTCACAAAAAAGTCAATACAGAAAGTGGTTTTATTAAGTTTAGTGAGATTTAGTATCTACATCCTTCTGGATATAGAATGTGTGTGTGTGTGGGGGGGGAAGGGTTAGGATTTTTTTGTAATAGGATCTCTCCATACAGTTCAGGCTGGCCTTGAATTTACTATGCAGATTATGCTGGCCTTGAACTCAGGGCCATCCATCTTCCTCAGTCCCCAAGTGCTGGGATTGCAGGCTTGTACGGCCACACCCAGCTCCCCACAACTGTATTTTTTTTGTAAATATTCCTTTGGTAATTGGTGCAAGGATGTGCAAGTAACATTTGGAATATAATTATTGCTCAAATATTCTCCATTGGACATACAATGATTCCTATAAGGTGCTCTGTGAACAATAAAGGAAGAAAAATTATAATCACAAGATTCATTACAACCTCTTTCTATAGTAACTAAAATGCTAAGGTTGAAAGAACTTCAGAAAGAGAAATTAAATTGAGTGCGCACAATGCCAGGTTCTCCCTTAGGAAGTAAGGCTGAACACTACTGGGAATGCTACATTGTAAATAAATACATATGTTTGTATCTCCTTAAAAGGATATTATCTATCCATATTTATAAAGGCCGTGGAAGAAAAGAATCAGTGAAAATGAATAAAAACAAATGTTCTGGAAATGAGCCATCATCAAAGTATAAACTCTTTAGACAGAGAGGAGGAGGCTGCAAAGATGATGATGGCGGGAAGAGCGGAGCATGTGCAGACCAAACTGGCCACCGCGGGCCACCGAAGGCCACGGAGGGACTCCTGATGGCTTATTTCTAACTTTCACATAGAGGCGGATGCCACACTACAGCAGACTGAATAAAAGGAGCTGAAAGAAAGAAAAAGCTGCGCCACACACTTAGGCTCGGGGCCACTCTGAGGAAGCAGACCTGGGCATGAGGTACAGTCGGCACTGCCCTCCACTGTTAATGAAACAAGAAATTGGAGAAGCTTTATAAACCAAGGGAAAATAAAAATAGTGCTGGAGATACAGGAGCAAGAAGGCATGACTGGACAAGTAATATTGAAAGAATGTGGCAAAAACAAATATACAAAGGACAAGTTGGTTTAAATAGCAGTTCATTTGATTTTCTGAGATTCAAGAGAAATGCATTCAAGAAGAACACTGGAAGTCCTTGACTTAAGTAACCTCATTGCTTTTTCCTTGAAACAAGGAACAAAACCAAGGCTTAAGAAATAAGTTCCAAGTATCCTTGATAACACTGATTGATTTCTCTAATTCTACTAAATACTTGGTGTAAATATTTTATCTCATTAACCTGTTACAGTAAATGGAATCATATTATTCTTTATTCATAAATTCTAAACTAAAAATGCCTGTACTTATAATAGTTTGTCCTAAATTACATCTGAAAGTATTTTGTTTAGGGCAGGTGTGAATTGTCTGGATGTATTTTGAAAAGTAATACCCAGTCTGCTAATGCATTGCACACAATTTCTTTACTCTCTGTGACAGGATTTGGAGTTTTCTTGAATTTGGGCCTGGTTTTGCTCCCCAATGCTCCTATCTCGCTTTATGGGAACAAATCTAAACTTTTTAGCATTTTTAAAAAACACATCATAGCTTTTCTCCCTAAACTTACTGGCTTCATTCTAATAAGCAACTACTAGTTTGGTTAAGAAACCCGCTTTGGGTCAGACTGTCTCCGTGCTATTATGAAGGTTCCTTACCTGCACGTCTGATACTGGAATTTCTTTCCTTGTAACAGGCATTTCTGTGGATTTTCTGTACATTCACAGGCACATTTTAAAGGATTTAGTGGTTGATTTCTTGGACAGCTTCTTTTACACACACACTGGCATGTGTTTTCATCAAATTCTCTGTTGGCTCCGCATGAGGTGGGGAAAAGTTTGTTTTTACACACACACTGGCATGAGTTCCTGTCTATTTCTTTATGGGGTCCACAGCTGGAAGGCCGAAGGCCCCCTTTGCACACACACTGGCAGGTATCTTCATCTAGCTCCTTGTTGGGGCCACAGATGCCACGGAGTCCATCTGTCGAATGGAGACAAACACATCTTCACTGTAGCTTACGTTGTTCAGGGTGTCGTGTGAAATGAACCCATTTTAGAGCATCTTCCTGCTTATGTTTTTAATTAAGAAAATATGTACAAACAACATATGTATAGGAAGGAGTTAAAACTAATGCTGATGTGAAACAAGAAATGTCTGGTTGGAACCATGCATTTCAAATAATGTCGTGAATGTTATACAATATTCACAAAATGTGTGCTAAGAAAATAGAAAATATGCATATAACAAGGCAAAAAAATCTACTTACCATCGCCAGCATTTGAGGACATCATAAAGTCGTGCTGCGCCAGGCACCTGCAGATGTGACTATTCCACATGTAATTTGTGGGGCACGTCTTGTTGGCAGCCTGACACCTTCGGAAGAGAGAGCTTGGATCAAGCGATGTGTAATTGGTACACACAAGTGACTGTCTCTTTCTCACATATTACAAATCAATGCATGCTCATCAGAAAGCTTCAAAATACATGAGTATATCAAATGAAATGTGAATGACCCTTCTCAAATTCTTACTCACACCTGCTGTAAAATTCTAATTCCAAAAATGACCATTGTCAGTCATATGGTCTTACCAAAATCTGAATTTTTATCTTTTTAAAGGAACTATATTTACTTCTATAATCACCAAATGTTTTAGCATATGAGAAGTATGAGAAAGCTTATTTTGTGTTACCATGAAATCTCCTTTCCCCACTAAACAATGTTCTGGGTACCTTTGCATGTTTCTTCATTAAGTTCTGCTCCATTGTTTGTAGTGGCTACTTAACATTCTACTAAAAGAAGGTGCCATCATTTATTGTATTAATGTGTTATGGTAATCATTTAAGTTGCTTCAAATTTTTGACTTTTTCAAAAATATATATGAAACAGAGATCTTCACAGCTATTCATGTGAAATTTCTGCTCTGTACTCAACAAAAAAAGGTACTCAAAAAGCATGATGTATGTCAATCTGACTCCTTCTCTCTCCCCTTTCATCTACTCTGATTCTTTCCTTTTTTCTTGCCTTGTATCTCCATCTCCTACTCCTTACCTTCTTGTTATCCTCCCTCCTTCCCTTCTTTTTTCTTTCTTCCTTCCTATCTCCCTCACTCCCAATAGTCCTCATTAGCCTTAGCAAAAATTATGAAGTATAGTCTGCAATTGAGTACACCAATTACTCCTCTGCCATCATCTTACTGTTGATTAACTGGAGGCCTCTTATGTTAGTGCCTAGAAAAGTGAACACTTCAGTTTGACAGTGTCTCTGTTCTCTGAGTTGAACAGAACCATTAGCTCATTTTATTTTCTTGTTCACTCTTGTAATCAACCATTTCTTCAAGATTTTCATGGTTTTTTTCCCTTTGTTTTGTCTTCCTTGAGACAGGGTTTCACTACTCAGTTCAAGCCGACCTTGAACTTACTTTGTAGGCTATGCTGGCAAGAACTCACAGTGGTCCTCCTGTCTCAAATTACTGAATGCTGGGATTCCAGGTGTGTACTCATGCTTGGGAGTATTTTGTTTTGCTTTGAAAAAATAGCATTTAGAGGTTATCATTTGGGATCAGCATGTGTAGTGCAACTGGATCACATTACCATCTAGATTTTTTCAGTGGGAAGAACTAGAAAGTGCCAATGTGTCCCACAGACTGTTTACCTAGCTGATGTTTACCCAGTAGAAGAATTCTTGACTTTTTAATAACTTCAGCGAATATATATATATATATATACACACATCTGTCTGTCTATCTATCTATCTATCTATCTATCTATCTATCTATCTATCTCTACTTCATTTGTCAACAGATCTTGGTGTAGATATCAAGTATTATTTACATCGTTCTTATCCTTGATCTTGTATTATAAACAACATTTTGTGGTGAAGGAAAGTTGAGTTGTGTTCCAACTTGATAGAAGATAGTGATAGGCATTTTTAAGAGTCCTGAATGTAAATAGGTTATGGGCACTGTATATTGGAAAGAAAAGTTACACAGAGTCGTACAAAAAAAACCCCAAACCAAACCAAACCAACCAACCAACCAAACAAACAAACAAAAAAAGCAGCTTGACTTTGTCCTCTCTAGGCTTGGGGCTTAGATTGCGCCAACATGATCAGACATGCAAGGCTTAAAATCATCAATAAATATGGGATCCACTAGGATACCTCCTTTCAGAAAATGGTGAAGGAGAAAGTTGAAATCAGCCAACCCTGCACGTTTTGCTCCTCCTATGGTGAGAACAAGAGGAAGAGACACATGGGCTACAGGGACCTGGCCTTGTGGTTCCTTCCTGGAAACGCTGGCTGGCAGGACCTGGACCTACAATGCCACATTTGCAGTCACCATCAAGTCTGCCACCAGAAGCCAGAAGGAACTGAGAGATCCACAGAAGCTAGATATCCCTAATCTATGGTGAATGGGTAATTTATGTTAAAAAGCCTGATATTTTGAAATCATATGAAAAAATTTTAACAGAATAAGGACATCTGCATTTTGCAACTATGCCTTTCTTCATGAACACCATCTGCAAGAATTCATTGGAGCTTTCCTGTGTAGCAGTCTCTGCAACAGCGCCAAGTCACCCAGCATCTCTATGCGTTTTTCTCAAAAAATTCTTTTCATTGAACTAAGAGAAAGTAGCTTCATGTCTATCCTATTTTTTATATACACCCAGCATCTCTATGCGTTTTTCTCTAACATATTCCAGTATCCATCCATTCCATCATCTTCTGCTTCAATCTGCAGGTGTCAGGCCTTCTACAGCTTAGTGAAAAGAATCTGGTGCTGGGTGTTTTCTTGAACTTATTTTAATTTGGAACTTTTATTGCTTTGTTATTTGCTATGCCCAATCATAAACTAATAGTTTCTTGTGTAGTATTCACATAGTGCAGGCGACCACCCAACCAACGGTGCGTTAATAGCAGTAATAAATGCTGAGTATCACAAGGCAATGCTGACCCACTGTAGGTCCTATCAAGATATGTTGTTACTTTTCTGAGGACATTATTATGTATGTAACATTATAGGAAATCAGCTAGGTTTGAGTTTGCCTGTACTTAATTATAATTTTTCCCACTTAAAGTAATAAAAACATGCTTGCAACGTACAGTTTTGAAAATACATTACTGATATTAAGCAAGAGATTTCTGTATATATTTTTAGGGAGAGAGGTGTTTCATTTACTATTTTGATTTTTTATTAATTTTAAGGAGAAAGAAATAGCAATGAGACAGTTTCAAAGCAAGTTAGAAGGACAGTAACAATAGTTAGAAGGACAGTAATAATAATTAACACATTGCATTTGTTGTCTTTGTAGCAGTTATTCTTTTCATTGAACTAAGAGAAAGTAGCTTCATGTCTATCCTATTTTTTATATACAGATATATATATATATGCATATATATATATATATATATATATATATTCCACTACAAAATGGTCCTTCATTTATATCCTTTTTTGTTTTGTTTTGTCAGAGATAGGTGTTCTATCACCATTCATATATTGTAGGTACTTGAATTCAGCAAAATAACCCAATGTCCAATAGTCCATAATAGTAGTGGGTTATAAGCAGAACTGGCAATGTCAGGAGTTGTTGACTTGAGCCTTTCACAGCTCAGCATATTAATATGGCTTTACTTTTTATACCTCATGGTTATACTTTTCTGCTGGATGGTTAAGACTAAGTTAAAGCAAGACCTATACAACTAAAAATGTAACTTTTGCATCTGACAAGTCAAATCCCCTCAGGATTTACCCTGAAACCATGTACAGCAGGTTGTAGATCCTTGTCAGTGTCAGCCATGTGGATGAGTCACAGTTATTGCTTGACCAATCTGCTTTCTGTGAAAGCCTAAGAGAATGTTTTCTCTCTAGGTGACTCTACTTAGGCACAGTATACATTGTCAATCACTTTCTTCTGTGGTCTCATTTGTTATTTTGAAATTCAACTTAACATTTCTGAGAATTTGACTCAATCTTCTGACTTAATACTAATAAATTACATTAAATCTAGGCTATTAAGAATCTTCATATAGATATGCTACATGTCCTTTTGTTTTAAATTTAAAAAATGTAAAATATTCATGTGATTATCAAAATTAAGACCATGAGAAAATTTGCTGGTCATAGGGGCAAGTGGTGCACACCTGTAAATCCAGCACCCAGGGATCTGAGGCATGAGAATGACTATGAGTTAGAGGCCAGGATGTGCTCCACACTAAGTTGAAGGCTAGCTTTAAGCTACACAGAGAGACCTTGTGTAAAAAAACTGTATATTCAGAGAAGTTCTGAGAAAAATGCACATTCAGAAGCTTATTTTGGTCCAGGCTGCTGATATCCAATATGCTCTTCCTCTTCTTATTATTTAAATTTGTTTTCAGCATTTCTTTCCTCAAGAATATATATATATATATATATATATATATTCATTCTATTATCAGATAATATTTGTGTATACTATTGTGTTTTTCATTTTATATTTCCTGGATAATGTTAGGCCTTCCTAATAATTGTAGATCTCAAAGCCAAGTCTTGTTTTATGATTTTGTCATTTCTTAATCATGAATATAGACTGTTCTTGATAAATTTAGACAGTATTTACCAATTTCTCAAAAGACTGCTCTTAGTTTAAGACAGATATGCTATCTGAACTTTGGAATCCTTTATCAAATATGGTGCACCTTATGTATAGTTCTATGTTGGCAACTGAAGTAATCCTGGATGCATACGAATTCATGTCATTCTTCTCTAAATGATGATAAATCTGGTTTGTTTTGGTGTGGTGCTATCCCATGCATGGAGTAAGTAGCACAGGGCCATGCTGGCTTTAGAAGGCACAGTACTGCAGCAGTAGGAGTAGAAAAACATTTTTGTTTACGTGTTATGCAATTTATGCTTTCATTACCTTCCCCTGTGTTTTTCCAGGTATTGGCTGTAGCTCACTAGCAGATCATGAAATCAATTACATGAGTTGTGAAATAAATATTGTGATGTAACAGAATGGCATATAATAAAATACAAACTGCTAGAGTATATATGATACATATTGTTGTCTGAAATTTTACAAACACATACAAATATGCATATGCTAGTCCTTGCACATAAATCCCTCCTCCAAATGTGTGGTGTGTCTGAATGGGATTATAACTGGTCGAAATGTCAAATATATTTGTTTTTACTTGTGAAAAAAATAGTAGAATTCAGTGTAAGCTGTGTAAATGGAAGTAAGTGAAAGAATCTTCTGTGCCCCTATTGACACTGATGAATGATGGAGTCATCGGTGAGATGGGGAACAGCAGGCTCTTCCGCCTCTGGGGCATCTGTTAATTTGCCACTCTTCAACTTACGTGTACAAAATTTTCTGTCCTAACGAAGTAT